AAATCTCCATCTTCTCATAGTGTCTATTTTGACAGGTGCATTCCTTAGTTCCTGAAAATCTAGCTTTTGCATCCTGCCAGGTGGTTTATGTTTCTAAAGGAGGGCAATGCTTTTTATTTTTTTTGCACTGTATTTAATAGCTGCATAAAATCCCCTGCTTTCTGAATTCAGTATGTCTCTGTTGACAGCTGAGCACTGAGCCCATAAGTTCTGATTTGAGATGATTATGTGGGTGCAGGGTAAAGAGAGTGTCACTGAACTTTCAAAACTGAGCTACATCCCACTCCTGCAGGAGAGGCGGCTCTGTGCTGCTTCAGTCCTAAACCATCCTGTTATAAAGGGCATGCTATCAAAACATGTAAAATGTGTCCACAGCTCATGTAGCAGCTTCAGGATGGGAACAGATTAGGAAAGAACTGCACCACAGAGCTCTAGCAGACCTGGAATAATGCAAAGGAAACACTTACAGAATATTGAAAGGATAACTCTGAGAAATAGTCCATGAGGTAGGAAATTTAATAAGGATAATAAAGGAGACTTGGTCAGAGCTTTCTTTACCTCAAAACACATCTATTTAATTATGTTTTGCTTTTGGAGTTGCTTTTAACCTGATTGCTAAGTGATACTGCTGCTGTTTTAATTTCAAGTCACTCTGACCATCTTGCCTGTAATCCATTTACGAGGAATGCCATGACCTGGAGTTTGTCACCTGACATGTCATTCCTCATGGCAGCATTAGGTTTCAGACACACCATCTCAACAAATCAGTCAAACAGGAAGATTCAGAAAGGAAATGCCATATCTTGACATGTAAGCCAGCGAGTTAGAGAGGAGCAGGAGGTTTGCAAGGCTCAGACCCATCTCTATTTTCACAATGGAGGGATTTCTCCTGTTCATCACAGTTTAGCAGTTTATGTGACATATGCATGATATGTATATGAGCTGACTAAAAGTCTAACTCTGCTTTTGGCTACACTGTTGAAAATCCCGTGGATATTGACAGTTCTTGGACCTGCACTCATGTAAAGTAAAAGGCAGATTTGTCCAAAGAACTAATCAGACATGCTCTTCCCACAGAACAGTCACAAGCAAATGCTGTGTTGTCCTGACATTTTTCACAGATGGAAAAAGGCCTTGCAAACTCTTCAGGATCGTTTACTGCAGGAGACAGAAGAGCCCTGGGAGAACTGTGCTTTTTTAATGCCTGCAATATGTGCATCTCACACGAGCAGTCGTCAGCACAACACTTTGCAGCTGAAGCAGTTGTAGTGTATGAACTCATTAAGTAAACTAATTTTTTCACTATCATTAAGATTGATCTCAGGTACCTTGGTGATCCCTTTTCTGCTTTAATAAACAGTCTTTTTATGCTGTATGGAAACAGAACAGCAAAGCAGGCCTTTCTGTGGAAGTTTAATGACATAAAATCTCAGCTTCAGTCAATTTGATGAGGATAGAATGTGAAACTGCCTCCCGGGTACAAGACAATTATGCAGAAGAAAAAAACCTTTGCAGGAAAATTTACAAGAGTCTGGAAAACACCGTGAATCTATCAAGAGAGAAGGGTCCATTTCAGGCTTCCATTACCAATTCCATTAAATACTCAAATGGTTATGTTAGTTTCTGCCCCTCTAATAAGAACAGAGTAATTTAAATTGTATTTTTTTCATGTAGTATCTTTTCCCATGGATTTAGAGGGCATTGCCACAGTGCATTCTCCCAGAGATAAACATTCTGCTTTTATGCAGTTCAGATTTTTGGATATCCATCTTGAAGGACTTCAGAGTTTCCAAAGTGCTGGGAATTTGCATTTTCAGATGCAATTAAGAGGATCTATCAGTGTGTAGAAACTGGACCTAGAATGCCTCAGAATGCCTACTCAAAATAGGAGCCCTCCTGCAGCATGAGTGCTTTAGTGAGTCATCCCAGATCAAACAGTGAGTTAGAAAGTGAGGCAAAGCAGAAACCAGATCTCCTGACTGTGGGTGTCTGGTTCCAGTGATGAGATTATCCTGCTTCCAGAGTAGTGACCTATTTACCCACGTAGGTCACTTCCATTAGCTCAGTGGTTATTGTTCTGTTGTTTTAATTAGTGCCATTTCAAATAAGTGGCCATCTCTGTGGAAAGGTCAGTACCTTTCTAAACTCTTCCTCTGTACAAATGACATTGCTGGGGAAACAACACCGGAGAAGTCATCAATCCTTGTTAGACCTCTGAGTACGACATGCAGTTGCTAAGCTGCTGGCCAGGCACATCTCAGTTGAGGAGATGACTCACTCCATCAGTGTATCTCAGAGCAAACATTGTTCAGCCCTGGCCTAGCCACACATGACAAGTACAAACATGTTTTGAAACAATACCAGCTGTTAAAGCATTAATTCTGAAGCGGGGGAAAGGGCAATAAATCCTGTTCAGGAAGAACTGGGATTCTGTGGTAATATCCTCTCTAGGATATTTATGTAGGTACACCAAACAATCCCCACAAACATGGACAGGCCCACAGAATTAACTCCTCTCTATCACAGAGGAAATATGTCTGCTTATAAATCTTCAGATCCATGTTGATGTGCCACCCAGCCAGCAAGGCAGCTTCGCCATTTCTCCTGTAAAGTGTAGTCCTTGTTAAAAGGCCTGTCATGTCAATTTGTCCATATGTTTACTGACAATAATAAAGCTTTAAAAATGGAACACAGTTGATACCATGTTCAGTCTGGCTTTAGTGGCAAAGCTCAGATCATTAGTGGTCAACGCTGCCTTCATGTCTGCACATGGCTGGAAAGGAATACTGTACTGACAAAGGAGTCAGAGTGAACTCAAATAAAATTGTGAGCCAGATCAAAAGGCTCAGAGAAACTGTAAAACTCCTGATGTGATTTATAGAAGTGACTAAATAATGGAGAAGTATAAACCCGGTTGCCTTCAGTAGCACATGCTGTATGTGGATATGTGTACAACTTTTAAACAATTTATCAACATGAGAAAAACTTTGGAAATATCAGTATGCAGACATTGAAATCTAAAGTTGTCAAAGTAGGTTATAAATCTATCTTGTGGTGAAGTCTTTCTGTTTTCTGCTAATAGAAACTGACTGCAGCAGTGCCTAAATGCAGACACTTTAAAGAAAGAACATGAAAGGCATTTATGAATCAACAGACTTATGTATGTGTGACATTTTAAACTTTTAAATACTCCTATTTCTTTTAAAATACTATATTTAGACTTAAAATTAGGCCTAATTTAATAGATTTTGCCGGATTAAACTCTAAAATCAGTGACATTTTTGCATTTGCATGAATTAGTGAAGGAGAATAATCTATTCACTTGAGCTTACAAAGGGTTTTTAAGTTCTTGACTGTATAATCTTATCCTGAAAACTGTGCCTCTTGCAACAGAGAAATCCTTATATTCCTGTTGAAATACTAGTATGGTACTGATTCAGGATAAAAAATAGAATCTTAAGCTCAGCTGAAAGAAATGTTTATGGTCCTTTCCATAAGCTTTGGATCAAGTGATTAGTGAGGCATCAACACCACCACTATAATTCTAGCTTGTTTTTTTCTTCATCAGTATGTCTGATCCTGCTTGTAACACAGCCCAGACCTGTTTTGTTTAGGACATATGGCAAGGTCAGGAATCACATTGAAAGGATATGTACCAAAATGAAAAGAATTGTCACAAAAACACCATCATGTGATGTAAAATTGAGAGGGTGCAATCAGGCAGGATGCCAGCAAATACTGCTTTCATTTTAATTTTATGTAAATAACATACTATAGAGGACTCAGGCAGACAGGATTATGTGATTTCTCATCAGATGACAGGCACAATTGCTTATGCTGATCTGCCACAAAGAGAAATATGTTTGCTGAAAAACTAGTTTTTAGGTATCAGTGCTGTGTATCTTTCTGAGAAAAAGGATCCTCTCAACTGATGGATAAAATGTTGGCATTACACAGAAAATACGATCTAAAATTTTTACTAGCCCTATTATGTCTATTCTGTCCCAGTTCCCACATCCCATAATGAATATTTTAGCTGTTCATATAAAAGGAATTTTGATATTTCAAAACCAAATCTCTCAAAAATACCCACCAACTAGCTGATATGCATCAAATTTTGAATCCATGTTTAACTGAAGCTTTAAAAAGCTGATAAAGGGAAGGAAAATTCTACACCATGTCCATAATATGACTGAGGAAATATGGCAGATACTATGATGATCTGTATTTTGCATATCTACTGTGGTATCAAAAGGACTTTTTTCCCACATAAGCGTACAATATTTATGTCTGAAACATCCATCTTTATGAAGAGATGCTTTTACTTTCAAATTAGATGAGTTCAGCCCTGAAATTTTCATAGAAATACATTTTCTAATCTTCTAGAGCTGTATACATGGCTACAACTGTCCAGTGGGTTTTCAGGTAAATGCTTGACTTCAGCAACTTTGGAAAATATTTGTTTTAATCACTTCAACTTACATATTTATTTCATCTAAGTATGATTTTAAACATTTTATTAGACTTCCAATGAAACCACATAAAATCCAGACATATAAGCAGTTTGGGATAGAGTTTTTCCAGCAGGATGAAGCACATATTTCATAGTCTTGTATTCTTTGTGAAGTTAATTAAAGCCTTTCATTGCTTTCATGAGAATAAATTGCTACAGATAGTTATCTGTAGTTTGTGAGTTACGTGACTGAAATACAGAATATATATGCATACTTTTACTGTCTTTATGTATATTGCTCTATTTGGTGCACCTATTGTCATGATTCAGTTATTATTTTTTTTAAATAAGATTGATCAATATTCCATAGAGCTATTTGTTTGTTCTTTTACTATTGGCTCTGCATTAATCCTTCAGAGGCAAGGGTGAAGGCTGTTCTTTTAGGTTTCTGCTTACCACTCAGACTGGTGCTGGGGAGAATATAGTGCAGATTCTGCATCTTATCCACTGAAGAATAACTGGGGTTTGGTTTTGTTTTGCTTTCTAGAAAACTTAGATACAATGATAGCTGAGCAGACAAAGAAGAAGCTTGAGAACCCTTCCACTAAAACCAGAACAAAACTAACAGCAGGTACCTATTCTACAATTTTCTCTCCTGGAATAACACATTTTTTTAATCTATTCAGTTGAAAGTATGCTAATTGCTGTAGCATCCAGACTACTGGTTAAAGCTACAATCCCTCAAGGACCTATAGCCAAGCTTGGTTGTCTAAACACACAACAAGAGAGAAATTTTCACTTAATAGTCCAAAGTTTGAGAAGTATATTCCCTGTCTTTCTTCAGTGGAGTCCATACATTACACATATACAAAAGCTTTTCATAATAATGAAAAAATGTTATTTGTCAACTTTGGATCTAGTGAATGTAAATTTCATATAATCTTTCTCTGCACAAAGAAATGTGCCTTTATGAACTATGTATTATTGCATTGTAGTCACCTGTGTTCAGCTACTGTTTGTAAGAGCAGAAACAGACATTCCAATTTCCAGAGGTCTGGAGCAGAGATGAACTTTAGAAACCACTTTGAGACAGACTCCAGTGAGGCTCTTCCTCAATCATCAGTCAAAATGTTTTACTTGCCAAAGGTTGCTGGTGTGATTGAGAAATGCTTTTGGTACATTTGATATAAAATTGTTTGCTCTGGTCATTTCTTTAGACAAGAGTAGTGAAGAAGCAGACAGTACAAAGGAAGAAGCAGCTAAAATGGAAAAGGAATACGAAGTTTCAAAGGATTCTACAAAAAATGAAGGACAAAATGCAGCAGGAAACAGTGAAGAGTCCGGAGGTACCAAATAGCCATTGCTTTTCCTACTGTGTCTGCTCCAAGTGATTGGAGTCTTTTCCTATCTTTGGTATTGTTTTTCCTTTGTGTTAGCATAAATATCTTCAGCTTATAGTCACTGGGAGTCAGCACACAACAGCTTGATTTGGAAGTGTACTTATTTGCCCAGTTTTAAACGTGTGACACTATATCCCTTGCTGAGCAAGACCATAGTCTTTCACAAAATTCATAGCCCCTTGTGAGAACAATATGAAATACAGGTTGACACAGTAGTGCAGAGAGATTTTTGCTTCTTTGCATCTGTGCTTTTCAGTGAAATCAGATGATCAGAATATCCAATAATCTGAGTGGGCCCAATGATTTCTATAGTTTGTGTTAGAACAAGCTGGTACTGGAAGGTACTGGAAAGTTCTGCATTGACAGAATGTGCATTGCTCACTGCCAGAGGTTAGGGGTTATCAGCAATTAACCTGTTTTACATAACTTTGATACCTGTTACAGTAAGTTAGTGTCTCCCTAAGCAAACATAGCACAGTAGTGCTGTTATTATGCCAGTTGCCTCAGCATGACACATAATGCCACGTGCTAAATTAGACTGTGCTAAAGTCACTTGGGTAAATCAGCTACTATATCTCAAAACAAATCTGCAGAGGACATTGTGCCTCTTTATTGTGCTGAACTTTTGAAGGAGAATGTTTGTTAGTGCAGAAACCTTTCAGTGAGTTCTTATTGCTAAGGATCCAGCAGAAGCATCTATGTTTTGTAGTCAGTTGGCTAAACAAAATTGCTTATAATCTGTTTTGCACCAATGCTGTTTAATGCTCATACTTTTTGGAATGCCTGTGTGTCTACTGCAGCCTGCTCAGCCATGAATGGCAGAAATGAAGGCTGCAGTAGATTGTAGAGCAATTGGCACCTGGGTCAGTCCTGTGGGCAGTGCAGCCACTCACAGATGGAAGGTGGCATTTTTTTCCAGCAGGTCATTTTTTTGAGCCAAGAAGAGGAAAATTTCTCAAGATGGTTGTCTGATTTCACAGGAAAAAAAAGTTGTCTCAATACCTGTGGGAAGTGATAAATAACACATTTTGCTTGCCTGTGAAGATTTCTCTTTCCAGTTTGGTTCAGGTTATTTTCCTTTACCTTCAGCCCAATAGCTTTTTAGAAATGTTAATTGGATAAGTATTTAGTTCTTTATATCATCATGCAATGCCCTTTGCTCTTTCACAGAGTAACTTACTATAAAGTTACTGCACTCCCAGCTCAAAAAGTATGATATATCTAATATCCATTTAGTAATAGAAGCAGACATGCATAGTTGGCACTAGTAATCTTTTACATGCTAATCACACTAGGTTTTTATTCCTTATAAATGTAAGAACATTACATCAATAAAGCTCCAGTCAAGTTAAGAATTCAAAATCCATTAGCTGGAATATTTCCTTAGGGGCCTTATTAGGTAATCCTTGAACTAATTCTATCCGGTGTGCTTTCTGGTCCAAAAATAGCCATCACTTTAAAATTTCAGCTATAACAAGGAGTTATCATGGTAATGTTAATACATTCCTTTTCTCAGTAAATGTGGTAGCTACACTTCCACTTGTCTTTCAAAATTTTGAAATTTGTTTGCCATGTGCTGTTAGCACTACTGTATGGAAGAGTTTTGATACTCAAAGCTCTCAGTTTTAATTAATTCCTTGCTATCTCAACAGCTTCATCTTTGCAGAACAATAACGATGATCAAAAAGCTACAGGCTGCCTTTAATCCACATAGGCAGTTTGTGTGGATCCCACCAAAAAGCTATGTATAAAGATCAAAAAAAGCCACAATCCTAAATTTGTGTATGACTAATCTTGCACAGACAAAACCTTCTAGCTGTCTGTGGGAATTTTGCCTGACTAAGTTTGACAGGACTCAGCTTTTAAACAGAAACTAAGAATAGTTTTAATCTGCCTTTGCTGTGACCACCTTCACCCAGTTAAGCAAGCTGCATCAATCATTGATGCAAGTGCCTGAATTCTCTCTCATCCTTTTCTCCAGGGAAATCTGAGGCATATTTGGAAGCAATCAGGAAGAACATAGAATGGCTGAAAAAACACAATAAACAAGGTAACAAGGAAGGTATGCAGTGAAAGGCCTTGACATTGGGGTGGGCACCATATACATTACAAAGCACGTAATTCATATTGTGGTGTATGACTTAGCATTATGTTATAAGTTAAAAAATAGTGATGTGAAACTGCGCTTGTCTATGGTGATAGTTAGTGTGTTAAAGTTAAGTAAATGTCAAAGTTAAATCAGTGAATGAAAATAGTAGACTAAGGCAGATTAATGTAAGCTGGCTTGAATGGCTGCTGGCCACAAAACACAGAGACCTGGTGGTCTGCCAGTGTGGCAGGTTTGTCTAGTGCTTCATTTCCTATTTCAACATGCCTTTCAATTATGATTTTATAAATGATAGGAATGTATTTTAAACGTCTGGACGTGTCTAGAAGAGCTCGGTGCATCTGGCTAACGTGCCTTCATAAGCAGCAACGTACTTTGTTTCATAACCGGGAATAGTTAAGATACAAATTTAAGTCACAATGTAATACATTGGATTACAGCCCGAGTCAACTCGAATGACTTGTAGCTCACACGCAAAGCTGCGCAGACGGGAGCAGAGATGGAAGCAGCTGCACGGGGTGTGCTCACCAGCTGTCCCTCCGTTTGACTCCTCCCCGGGGGCAGGGCTGTGAGCACTGGAGGCAGGAGAGAACAGAGCAGCAGCAGGATTTCTCGCTTATTTTTCACAGATCTTTGTTTATCTATAGCAGTTCTTCCCTCAAGATCTTACATAAAACCAGCCTCCTATCCCTTTTCTCTGCCATGGCTGTGTGTTCTGCCATCAGCCTCTCTGGAAGTGAAGGCTCCTAGCCAAGGGATCCATCCCTGGGCTATGACTGGCGCCTGGTGAGAAGGATCCTTCTTTGCACCAGCCGATTTGAGATGAGATTAGCCCTGGGTAATCTAGCCATCCTCTCTGTGTGTTGAAGTGTATATGAATTACATTTCAGACATGAGTGCATGCCTATGGCCCAACACAGGCATTTTCCTATACAGAAACTGTAATAGGAAGGACTTGTAAAAAAAATTTCCATCTCCAAAATCGTTTCCTCACAATGGCAGTGATGGCAATTAGCAGCAGGCACACATATTTGCTCAAGAGTTTGCCTGCCAATTCTAATAAATGGTTCTGTTTAGCTGTGTATTCATTATGGTCATTAGATCTCAGTCATGTGTAATTATATCCCTATATCACACATACTGACTGGGCAGCCCCTCACTCCTCTTCATAGTAACCTCTGCACTGGTACAGTCTGAAAATGGCTGTGACTGCAGATCAATAGCATTTTATCTGCTTGTGACTGCATTAAGATATACATTTCTGTTTAGATGGGTTTTCATTTGCACTAAAATATCTTTATTGTCCCCTGGCAATGGAAATGAGTCTTAAAGTGAGTGTAAGTTACGACAAAATTAGAATAGTGTTCTTACTCTTCTGATACATCATCTTTATTGTGCCTTTCCATACTTTTTATTTTTGTAAAATGCTACTTCAGGTCCCCTGGGCTGATGTTAAAAGAAGTGCAGTCAGGGTAAGCTTATCTAACCGTGAATGCATTGCAGTGTGTTTCTTTGGTACAAGATGAGGTGGTATTGGTGTGCTCATCAATCATTTCTCCACTTCCAGCTACCACCTGGGAGCTGGCAGAAAAGTAATTCTCAAAGTAATTCATGTATTAAAATGGCCAGTCTTTCCCACCCCCACTCATGGATTGGTTTACTTACTGAATATACTCGAAGAGGTTTAGATTCTCTTCAGGCAAATGTTTGTAGATCCTTATCTTTGTATGAATTTCAGTAGAAATTATTATTTGTTCAATGACTAATAAGCCTGGAAATGTTAATTTTCATTTCCCCAGTTTAAAAATATCAATTTCCTGTTAAGGAGGCAGGTAAACTTGAGGGGCTGGGATGATCTAAAGAGAAACATCAAAAGCCTGGATTTTGGGCTGATGACCTTTTGTGTCCAAAGTTTGGTTTGCATATTTTCAATCTATAGGCTCTGTGGGCCTGTCCTTTGTATCTCCCAGACCTGGCTTGATGATTGAAATGCTTTTCAAGAGGAGCTCCCCTCCAGTGTAAATCAGCTCCCCACAGTAGCTGCTGGGTGTTCTATTGCAGTTGGACTCCAAAGCACAGAAATGAGGCATTTAACTGATACATGTGGATTTTTTACCAAATACTCAGGCAGTTTATAGTTTCATAACACTGATAGTAGCCATTTAGGAATGAAAGTAAATTCTGTAATCAATTGCAATGGCAAATGGCTTAATTTGAATATGCAAATAAGACCTCACTTCATTTACTGTAGCAGTTTCACAGCTCAATGAAATGCTGCAGCTGTTGCGGTGAATATAACCCCAAGCTGATTTTTCTAATTACAATAGGTTGTAAATAAGTATTAGAAATTAGAGGTTATAAATTTCTAGGAAAAAAAAAATCAAATTAGATTGCAATTAGATATATAGCAAATTAGCCAGAATTGGATAATATTGTAGTGGTTGTAATCCCGTACAGAATGTTTAGTAATTAAACATTCACATTTCCACATAATGATTTGAAATTATAAATAGTATTCTAGAAGTAAAATAAGCTCAGGGATTTTAATGTGAATAATGTGGATATCATATTAATTTAGTGTTTGTTCTTCCATTCATTTCCATCCTTGATATCTTTCACCGGGGACCCTCATTCTGTCAACATGAATGAAATCTCAGAACCTCATTATGAAATTGCTGGGTACTATTTGTCCCTATTACTCACACAGGCTGGTGAGACAAGCAGGTTACATTCTCTTAAGTAATGACAGTGGCAGATCAGACAAGAAATCTTGGCCTCAGTACAGTGAATGGCAAAATTCCTGTTAACTCAGACATGGAAAGACACCTCTGCAGGAGTGGGGAATTTTGAACATCAATTTTATGTATTACTCATTTGAAATTGCCTTATGCTGTTATAAAAATGATTGCAGGCGTCAATTTGCTTCATAATGTCTTTCTATTTCTATCCAATTTTGGTCACTGACCCCTAAAAAGACAGGAAGTCATTATTGTCTATTTTGTTAAGAATGTACAGTTGGAAAGAAGGTCCTTCCACGTATTAATCTATGATGTTATACTTTGGACTACATTACAAAATCAGTATGAATGCATTCTGAAGGCTCTGTCTGTGGAATAAGTAATTTACACTGAAAATATCAGAATGTATCTGTTCTCGTGAAAGATGTTCATTTAACTTAGTGTGAACCCTTAAAACATTGAAGTTCTTCGGGTTCTAACAAATTAACTTCTGATTCTATCAAATTAAGCTTTACATTTTATGCAGCAAATTAGGTAGCTAACTGAAACTTTATTGTGTTTATGTGTGAATATACTGAATCTGCTGCCAGAGTTACAACTACACAATAGGTTACCCCTTTATTTTATTTGAAAGATTGTTTTGCAGTAGAATTCTTTTCATGGAAAATAGTGATGTTTTCCAGCATGGGAAAAGTCTATTTAACACATAGAGATGCACTCATCCACTGGAAAAGGAGGAAGGATCTTTCAATACTCTATTGCAGAGTCTATTTGTCAGTCAAAAACTGACACTAACACTGTCACAAAGACTGCTCACTGCAGTATTTTTCAAGTCAGAATATTATGTTCTGTATCAAGGTGAATAATTGTATCGAGCTATTTTCAGGAAGTTCATTTCTTGAATTTTCACTACAGTGTTTGTAGTAAGTGGGAATTTTACTAAGATTTCAATAAGAAATAGTCCATTTAATATTTTCTTTTGATTCTGTGACAGCTGTGAAAATAATAGGGTTCTAACAACAGGTTTTGCTCTGCAGACTAGAACATCAAATCTCTGGACCAGAAAATATTGTTACTTTAGCATTTGACAGCAATCAATCAAGAGCAAGAGATGATTATTCCTCTTGAATACTAAAAGCACCATGATGTGTAAAAACACTTTGTGGAGGTGTTTTGGGTTTATTTATTGTTTTCACAAGCTGCACTTAAAGTGAATTTTCTTCATGTTTGATCAAGTGCATTTGTTGGATAAACTTTGCAATGACATTTCTGTTAGGTGAAGCAATGTAATGGCAATGACTCATTGTGCAAATGAATTCTTATTTTTCAGACTATGATCTTTCAAAGCTGAGGGAATTCATTGATCAGCAAGCTGATGCTTATGTGGACAAGGGCATCCTGGACAAGGAGGAGGCTGATGTAATTAAACGCATCTATGGCAGCCTGTAAAAAGTCAGTGGCTGCCAGACATGTAGAAAACTAGTCTAGTTTCCCCCACTCCTGGCTCAGTGACTTATGATCTCTTAATTTGAGGATATCATTAGAAATGCTCTGTTTACATTGTACTGACAACTTTCTAGACAGCAATGAAGAGCTGTAGTGCTCCATTCACCCCCTGCATCCTGTATTTTCCTACATTCACAAATCAACCCTAAACACCAAATTCTGACAGTGAATTTCTATTGGATAGGGTCCATATTTCTGTAATGCTCTCTTTGATTTATTATTTGTGTTTGGTTTACTTTTGTAGATCAACCAATTGTTTCTGATGGAAAGTTCTTTTAATGCTACATCTTTTTGCTCTCACTCAACAAGCTTTCTATAGATGCAACTATGTAAAGGGCATTATTAGAAAATAGTTCATAGTTCTCTAAATAAAATATTTGAAAATAATTTACCTAATAAAGTTTTCATTAATCTTAATATTATTTTATATTCAGAAATTTTGTGTTTAAATCTTAATATCTTTTTTTTTGATCCTTTTTTATTTCTTTAATTCTGTAATTTGGACTGTAGTGACCTTAGCTAACTGATAAATCTTTGACATTACCATTGCCTTTCATATTACAGAGCTGTATTCTCTTCTTCAGCATGTATGAACATTCTCTTTGGTGCACCATTTGATGACTGTGCATGCATAATTAGTTGAATTCCTGATGTGAGTATCCTGACAGCAAGTGTAAATAGCCATTACTTTCTCTAAAGAAAAAAAAAAAAGGAAAGCAATTCAAGTTATTTTGCATGGAAAGGGAAGTTTGCAACTAGAGATGTTTTTAGGAACATGGGCCTTGCTTTTCAGAAAGACTTAAAGAACCTATCATATCTCAGTATCTCTGAATATCAAGGCTGTGGTCTCTTTTCTGATCTCTGCTCTGTGTTGAGCAGTATCATCTTGTAAATTTTCTTTTTTTTTTTTTTTTGCCTATATATGTTGTCATTAGCCAAGAATTTGGTACTTCCCAATGAAAAAGGAAAACAAAAATATCACCCTCGTTCTTCTTCCTGAACTTACACAGTTTTGGAAGAATGGCTTATGGGGTCTTTTGTCTCTAAGTGAATGGATAATTTTATATATGAAGAACTCATAAAGCAAGATCAAAGGTAAGGAAGTTTTTAGAAAGGGAGATTTTAAACTGAGTTCCAGAAGACATAAGTCCTGAGACTTATCACCTGCAGCAGTTATTTGTGTAGGTGAACTCCAGGAAAGCCCTGTTCTCTTTATTTACAGATTCTTCCTTGATAATTGAGGTTATCCCTCTCTGATTTTTTAAAAAACACCTTATGATATCTCTGAGATTGATACAGTTAAAAAATGTCAGTTGATGCAGAGGTTGGAATCTGCCTGCAGTGAAGGGAGATACTGACTTACAGCACTGCCTGCACAGCACAAAGTTCTCTAAATGTTAAAACACTTCCTTGGGTCATTTCCTTTCTCATTTTCTCAGCACAGCTGGAGATCAGGGAGGAAGAGATTTGAGCAATGAAGTAAACTCTGGAATCCCTGAAAAACATAAACGATCAACTGATTATTGATAAATTCTCAATTGATAACCAATATTAAGTGAATGTGATGGTAGTGAGGTATAACAGCATAACTCTTTGCAAACTGATGACACATGAGCCAGTGGATGGTTTCTGGCAGACACAGAGCACGTCACTGCCTGCTCACACACATCCTGATATGAATCACTGAATTGCAGGATCAGTCACTAATGTTGATTTATTTTTTTAAGGCAAAAACTGTATCCAAAAACGTAGTCAATATAAGCTTCCTCTTTAAAAAAATAGTCCCTTAGAAACTCTGGAGAAAATAATTAGGGAAAAGAATTCCTGTTGGTTTGAATCGGTGTGTTTGTTCTCATCCAAACCCTCTAATTTGTTTATTGTTATTTGCTAATGTTCCCAAAGATCCAAATTTCTTGTCCCTGTGGATCTCAATTGTGTTCTGCAACAGCTTGTGACTTATTTTCCTATGTGACTATCACAAAGGAAAGCAGACTGATTCCCAAATATGGATTTTTGAAAGAAATCAGGAGAATGGTAACTAACTAACTGTAGACCTTTAAAGCAGTGATCCAGGATCTGCACGTGAAAAAACAAAAAAGGACAAACTTTTCTTCCCCAATGGTTACTTTAAAAAAGACCCCAAATTTTCTTCTCCTGTCAATACAATGAGTAATATAATGATATTTTCAATTTTCATTGTAAGTTAGTTTCTTGCTTTGGTCTCTCATGAGTCTGGTACTAATGGGAAGATGTCATCAACCAGTGACCTGTGATTATGAACAGTATGTGTCCATGAAAAGGGTGGTGCCATATTTGTTAATCTCTCAGTTTTGCAAATTCTATCACTTCAACAAAGTATCAATGACATAATTTAGAGGAAAAAAAAGTCCCAACAATGGGTGTGACCTGATTGTATTTCAGAGTATGCATGTTCTTGGACTGTTCTTACACTGCTGCTGTGCATCACTTGGGGTACACACTTAGATAATTGGACCAACCTGATGAGTAGCTGAGAACAGAGAAGCCTCTGATGGATAAACCAGCAATCCCAGCTATGGTTCCTCAAATTAGATTCACTTCCCAGCCTGCCCAAGCCCACTAAACTTGTTATTTGAGTGCTTCACATACTGGTTTCATTGCTGGTACATTGGATGAACATCACACCTTTCAGAACTAGACAGTGAACACCCAGCCAGCCTGATGAATCATCCTGCATTTTTAAGGGGCTGTGACTTGTGCTAAATAAAATCAAACCAAGTGACGCAGGTTTCAACCTGCACTACAGATCAGTCCTTGTTTTTCTGGGAACACTTCGAGCACATTAGGACTGGACATCCCCTGCTGATGTGTTTAGCCCATAATTAGTAAATCTAATTATTGCATTCTTCCTGATGAGAAAGGTATCTTCAACACCTGCATGTCTCTGGTTCTAAACTGACAAAAATTGGTTTCTGTGTTGTTTATATCTCTGCTGGATCCTTCAGAAATCCTTCAGTCCTAAATTATCACTGAAAATGTAACAATACAATATATATGGTATTCACCTTTTGAGCTTTTCTAATAGACTATTGTTTCTGATACTGTACTTTATTAAACACTTTACTACAAGCTACATTAGTGTGCTGGTTTTGGCTGGGATAGAGTTTATTTTCTCCATAGTGGCCAATATATGTTTTGGATTTACGCTCGAAACACAAATGTGTTGATAACACAGAGATGTTTTAGTTCCTGCTGAGCAGAGCTCACACTGAGCCAAGGCCTTTTGTGCTCCTCACCCACCCCACCAGCGAGGAGGCTGGGGGTGCACAAGAAGCTGGGACACAGCTGGCACAGCTGACCCCAGGGATATCCCAGACCATGTGGCACCATGCTCAGTGTATAAAGCTGGGGAAGAAGGAGGAAGGGGGCGGGATATTGAGAGTGATGATGTTTGTCTTCCCAAATAACCGTTACTTGGGATGGGGCCCTGCTTTCCTGGGGATGGCTGAGCACCTGCCTGCCCGTGGGAAGTGGTGAATGAATCCCTTGTTTTCCTTTGCTTGTGTGCACAGCTTTTGCATTACCTCTTAAACTGGCTTTATCTCAACATATGAGTTTTCTCCCTTTCACCCTTCTACTCATCTCCCCCATCCCACTGCAGGGCAGTGAGTGAGTGCCTGCGTGGGGCCGAGCTGCCAGCTGGGGTTAAACCACAACAAGCAGTACAAGGTTGCTGTTGTGTGCTAAGGAGAATGCATCTTTTCTATCCACTGCCCAGCTTTTTTTAAGCTACCCTGCACCATGGAGCAATAGGAGTTCATCTCGATGCAGGAAGGGGTGGGAAACCACAGGGATGCCCTTCTGAGAATGCTGGGTGCAACTACAGAGCTTGGTGGCCAAGTTAGCTGGATTTACAGGGGTTTAGTAGCCTCCAGCCACGTTACAATTGAGTCCCAAGTGTAAATGTTTTATCAGGTATGTCCCACATATTTCATTTGAAAAGATCCTAGTCCAAGCGTGCCCAGGTGTTGATTTTTCAAGCTTTGATTGAAGAAATACGTAAAAACAAAACTTCAAACGTGCAGGTTCCTCACCACAAAGTAGCTGCAAAACAGAGAATTCTATCTGCACTAAGTGCTTCACTTATGCCTGAAATTGCCCTGTTCCAGCCATAAACCACACCTTGCAGGATTGGTAGAAATACAGAAACAAAGAATGAAGCTACAAGTGTACCAGGCATAAAAGCAGAGTGGGAAGCAAAATATATGTGGTAACAAATACAAATACATAAAAAAGTACAGGCAAATATGTCACTTTGTTAAATAATAACATGAAAATGTGGGTTAAGATATCAAAACATTAGTTATTTCAGAGTCTTAACTCTTTTTAAGAGTAGTAAAGCTCCACCTTGAATCACTCTGAGTGTATTGCAGACGATTTCCAGGCAGTTTCCTCTTGCCTGCCCAGCTCTCCCTGGGCCCAGCCTCAGGCAGCCATGATGAGTCGCCAGTGAAGGGACGCAAGGAGCCAGCAGAGGCACAGGAAAGCAATTCCTAGAAATATCTTACCTCTACTTAAAAAATGGGCAGTCGGTCTCCATATTTGCCCTAGGGATTATGACACACCACATCTATCTACCCGAAAACCTGTACTCTTCGCCTACGCTGTGAGGGGCTGCCAGGACACGGAATCTGTGCAATTGGCGCTCAAGGAAAAGCTGAAGTGCCCTCAGGTGAGGCCTGCGAGCCGCCTGTGGGCTCACCAGGGCTCAGCTCTACCAAAGGCTCATCAGAGCTCCTACCCTGCCCACAAAGAGCAGACAGGCCCAGGGCAAAGGACTGGAAGAACCAAAGATGGAGTGGAAGTAAAAGCTGGGGCTTCTCTGCCCAGCCCTGAGCACTTGAGGCACATGAAGGGCATCTCTGGGCAGGCGAGGAGCGGAGACCTGCGCTGGGGCGGCAGCAAGGTAGGACTTTTACAGGTGTCCTTTGTGGTGGGCAATGACAGGCCTGAAACCCTCCCTGCAGGAGGATGGTGTGTGGCACAGGTGGGCTGGGTGTCTCTACTGGTTTTGCACTGGATGCCGTGTTGTGTGCTGGTGTGAGGGGTTTCCAGGGAGCAGAGGTGCCGTGGGTCATCAGGGCACTGCTGGGCTGAAATCTGCCCTGTGGTTGCTGTGTCTGAGGCGTCGGGTGTGCGCTCAGGGGGCTCTGGTGTGTTCAGGCTGGCAGAGCTGCTTCCTCCCTTCCTTCCAGTCTGTATGGCTTTCTCAGTCAGGGAAAATAGGTGTATGTGGTGTGAGGGACTGTTTGCCCTGAAGGCTCTGCAGCCCACTGGGAGGGCCAGGGTGAAGTGTCACTGCCAGGAGCTCGGTCAGTGCTGGGCAGGAGGGGCAGCTCTCGCTGTGCCAGGACAGCTGCGCTTCTGACCTGCTCAGCAAAGCACCCTGGTCCTGTGTGTGCTGGATGGGTGGGCTATCACAATAGCAGGCCCTCGGGAGAAAAGGATTTAAATTTTTCTGTAGGATTATAAAATATAACTGGGCTTGAAGCTAGGGTTCCCTCTGGAAAAGGAGTTCATTCTGGCTTCATAATGTCCTGAAATTAACTGACAACTGACAACTTACTACCCTGTGAGGAATAAATAAAAATCCCAATTTAAGAAAGATACAAGACTTAAAACTAATTCAGCAGTCTCTTCAAGAAAAATCAGTGCTTCCTTTTATTCACTCTGGGGCTTTCTCTGTTCTTGTTAATTTGTGTGCCACTGCAGATCTCCTCTTTAGGACCAGAGCTGGAGTTGATCTGAATGAGCCTGCTGGGTCTGAGCTCCTGCCAGCTCTAGGGAAATACCAATTCCTGCCAAGCTTGGAATTTTTACTTCTGGTTTTAGTAAATCAATGAAACTTTCTATATTGCTTCTCTCTTAACATACTGCAAAAGGGTTTTGCTTTAAGGGAATGACAAATTATATTGATGAGCAGAAAGACAGGAAACTGCATCTGTCACAGTGGGGATCCAGCAAGTCTTTAATGATGGGAGTTTTGTGAAGCTTATTGAATACTTGAGGAAAAAATTTAGGATGCCTAATAAGAAGTTGCTAATACACTAACTTTGGGGCAAAGAGTGAATGCAGGCTGCATTCTGCCTTCCTGAGCTTCAGGTGAGGTCTACCTGCAGACTTGAACACTGGCATTTCTTCTCAGAACAGGGAAGGCTTGTCAGGGAGGCTCTTAATAGTTTTCATCTTTCTCATCTTAATAGTTTTCTTGACTGGACAACTAGAGAAAATAGCTCTTACAGGTCTCATTGAGGAGGGTGAGTTATATGGTAAAGGTAAGGGACACTATTTACCCTGATATTAGTATCTAATAGTTCATATAACTAGACAAACCATTCTTCACACAAAACAGGCTAGGACCAAACTCACTGCATTATGAACAGACACATCGGTATTTTTGTATTTTATTAAATTAAACCCACACAAAATATAACTGCACACAAGAACATACACCTGATATTCCAATGTCATATCTCACAAAGAAAAATCTCTGGCTGTAACTCGTCCCTTGTATTAGCAGAAGTCCAATTTGCAAACAGTTGTTTAGCCATAAAGGCTTTAACTCATCAAAGCAAGTTGAATTCCCCTTTCTAGGAATACATCATAACCACACACAGACACACACACAGAGTTCAGAGGCAAGTTCTGCAGCCCTGAAGTAGACAAAACTTTCACAGCAAACTTGCCTATGTTTGCAGAATATGTAAATTCCTATTACTTTCATAGGTTGTCATTTACAAGCAAACTTTAATATTTTTAAATACTTAAAACAAATTTCACTTTAACAATTATTTACAAAATCTTTACTAAAGATCAACATCCTGCATAAAGGTGACCTCAAGGATATATTGTTGCTACCATGCTACAGTTTGCACTGAAGGGGTAGAAAGGCCATGACTAGTTTTGGAAGGCTTAAACCCTTTGTTGATATAGCATAAGGACATTAACCTATGGAAGGCAGAAGAGGTCATCGTTTCAGTGCAATTACCCATTCATGACTTCTTTTAAGTACATCAAGATGATGAGTCCAAAAGACTTGGGTTTCGAATTATTGACTGTTTAGTTCTTTAAGAACTGATTTCATGGGAAGTTTTCAGGCCATCACATCTGTGTCTTCTACTGGTGATATGAAGAAGTTGCATAGGGACCTTCCTCATCCTCCTCCTCTCTAAAAAGAAAATGATCATAATCATCAGGTCAGGAACATACCATGTCTCAACAGTAAAGCTGTAATGAAAATGCAGGTAACTAGTTTTCATAATGGATCAAATTAAGCAAAGCCAGCCTTGCCCAAAAGGAATACTTGCAGTATAATACTGTTAATTACACATCTCTAGAGTTCCTGTTATGTTTAAAAAACAGAATGCTGAACACAAATAAAGTTGTGTAAGTTCAACAACATCAGAAAGTACTATTCTTGACACTACATTGCCAAATCAATAAGAAATCCTGTAAAGGATAAAAAAGTGGAGGGCATAATGGAATTCCTGTAGTGTTACTCTCAATTTCTTATCTTACAAAATAAGCTTAGTTAGAGGTTTGTTTCAACCTTTTGAATGGCAGGGGTACAGATGGACCAAATGAAGCAAGAACAGGAGCTGTAGCTGGATCTGTGTCTTGCTGCTGCAAGGACATTCCTTGAGTGGGCTCCCTGATGTGTACTTCCTGAGCATCAATCACCATGGAGAATCATCACTTGGATTTTCTTAGGAAAAACAGTTCTCCCAAAGTGTTATTGTGAATGCAATGACTGAACAATGGTAAATAGTGTTGCTACTAAAACATCCTCAGGAAAAATCAGTCTGCCTGCTATTTACTTGATTGCCTTTGAAAAAAAAAAAAAAGTGGTTATGTAAACCTATTGCAGTGCAGCATCCAGTACTAATTCAAGCATGCCAAGTCCTCCAAAGATCATTGTTTTGTACTACTGTGGCTTCAAAATTTTGTTCCTGAGAGTCTAGTCTAAAAGCTGCTGCCAATTTTAGTGTTTTGGTGAGACCAGAAAGACTTTACAGATGCTACACTGTGAGCTTCTAAGGATTACTTTTAATATTGTATGTGCCTTCATACAAAGGTACAGTTATTCCAATAGTCTAATAATGGTATGAGGTAAAAATTAAATATTTCAATATCAAAACCCTAATCGTGCTTTCCCTAATAACTTTTAAACATGATTATTTATCTACAACTGAAATTTCATACAGCCTCCCAAAATAGAATCAGAGAGAAGAACTCTACAAACTAATCAAGCAGCTGAGTAATTTGCACTCATTTTCCCAGTGAAAGTATTATCTTAAGCCAAAGGCATAATATTTCTTTTGCCTTGAAGCAATCTTTTCAAAAAAAGAAACCTCAAAAAACCCAAGTTTTGGATGAAACTGGTAGTTATTGCAGGGATGTGTGGTTACAGTAGTACTGTGAACAGATTTTTAGCCATTCTTACAAATACATCTGTTTACATTAGTGATGCTGCAGAACCAGCATCAAGGATGATCTTAAGATACAGATGACACGTGCACAACATTTAAGTAGCATCCTTCCTTACATAATCCATGCTGCATACAAAACTGCCATGGAATACTTTCCATGACACCTGGCATGACAGTAAAGTAAGGAAGCAAACAATTCATGTTTATTTGAATAAGCACTAAAACCACTTCAGACCTGTAAGTTCTCTCAAGACAACACATCTTAAAATGTTTTTCAGAACTGAAACCTGACTGCAGGACTGTAAAATTCAACCATAACTACTTGGCTGAAGCTAAATATTTCAAAAAGTGTATTCTGAAGTTATGACATATGCCCTTCTGGGGTAATGTGTTTCTAGCCACATATGCCTGGAACTCAGTTACAAATAGCAATCTCCTGTTAGTTTGTGTGAGGATGAAGGAGAACTACTACATTTTCAGAGCTCAGACTGTCCAGTGGGGGAGAATTTATTTTCTATGCTCTACAATGGAAATTACTTTGTACTGTTTAGTTTTGTTATATTTCTCCTTTCAGGAGAATAAAATGTGGCAGCCTTACAGCAAATGACCTTCCTTCCAATCAAAGGCTAACAGAATCAGCCTTTCAATCATTCTTCTTGAAAGCCTTAATGTAGGAATAACATACATAATGACGTGGTAACAGCCAAACACTGGACTGAAATGAGCTGCAGTTGATTATGGGTGAATACAGACAACTGAAGAACTGAAATACTGATGTTATATTAGCAGGTCTTCAGACATCCAAGTAACATGGTATAGACTTTGTCCCCACTTCCCTTGTGCAATGTGGACTATGGGCTCTTAGATGTCAGCAGAGGGCAGAAGGCACTGGGGTTACAGCTAGTTTTGAGGAGCTTCTGTGCATGGCAGGGACATAAAAACTATATACTAGGTTGTTATGCTTGAACTGAAGCAAAGCAGTGACTGGCTGTAAGGTGTAAAATACATTTCTGACCATGGCTTGGAACTGCTGCTGCAGCTGCCAGCAAGGGTGGGCAAGAACATCTTCTGCCCTTCTATCCCAGGCTGCAGGACTAGCCCATGAGAGGTCTGCAACACTACTGTAAACCACAGTAGTGGCCAGGGAATATTACTAATGTAGATCTTAGAACTGTGCATAGCAAGTAAAAGTCTGTTCTGATGGCTTAAAAACAAGCTGAGCTTTATATAAAATAAAATCTTATGTGGCCCACAGGCACCAACATGGCAGTGTGTATCTGCTTAATGACCAAACAATTTTCTTCACTTTTAAGAAGCCTAAAATAGCAGAGTGGTAAGTCACTGCAACATTCTCCTTCAGGGAATGGAAAAGGAACAGCACAGCATTAAAACACTGCAGTGCTGTCCCTTCCCATTTGCTGTCTCCACTTTGCCCAGTAGGATACAGGAGCTGAAAAAAGTCTCCTCCAAGCTCTGGTATGTATCAGGCACAATCAAACACTTCTGTAAGAGCAAGCACACCTGAGTGTGAACAAATGAACTCAAATGCTTGGATGCTTCTAGAGTGCACAATTAAACAAGGCAGCAATCTGAGCTGATAGTTAATAAGCTTCAACACCCTACTCTTCCCTCTGTTCAGGTCAAGGCAACTGAGCAGGTGACAGTTTATGGTTCTCCTCCTGTGCTGACACCAGTTATATCAGCTCATATAACCAACAGTGATTAGAGTGGCTCTACTCAGTTACAAGGTTTTCAAAATGAGCCACTAAAAGGCAAATGCAGAAAGATGTGACCTGTCCCACAACCACAGCACATGGCCTCAGGGTTCTGGTCTACCACAGCACCACCCTAAAATCTTAAGGACTTGCATTAGACATTTGGTGTTCAACTACCTGAGACAAAAAGCATAACTAAACTCATTTTCAGTTTTGACACCCTGAAGCATGCATAACAGCCTTTGGGGCTGTTATGAAGATGAAGCACCACCATATCTTCTATTATGTTGCTTTTATTTCACATGTGGATAAAACTGAGTATTCTTCCCTAATGTGCAAATACATGAGTTAGCAACATATGCTACAAACAACTACATTAATCCTTTCACCTTTCTTTTGGCCTATTATAAAAACACTGCTCAAAGCAAAAAGATGCAGTTTATTGCTTGAACTGCATCTTGGGTAAATATGCATTAGCTAGTGATTTCTTACTCAATGAAACTCTAGTAAAGTAGTATTGCATGTAGATCTATCCATGTGCTTACATAAACTGTAACAGTGTACAGCAGCTGGCACAAACTCAGTGGATCACATTCTATAACCTTTAATGCTTATCTACTTGCACAGCTATTATAGTTTAGTATCTAGTCTAAATCTGCAACTATGTGCTCCTCAACACTTCTACCTAAAAGCAAGAGGTTTTAGCTGGAAAGTAGCTGACTTTAGAGGTTAATATACTTTATTCTTTTGAAAGCACTTAAAGGAGTGACTTCAAGAGTTGTGATTAAACAACATAATTCACCTTAAGCTGCTTTTGTAGCACAAGGCAGTTTCTGACTATAAAACAGCCTTGTGTGGTTTAATCTGAGTCAGTGCATGTATGCACAGGCATTCTTGGCAACTTAAGGGTGATCTAAGTAAAGAGCAATTAAACAGACGTTGTGGTTCTCACAATCAGTCAGATCAGGCTCACTGTAGGGTGAGAAGTTATGGCTCTTAAAGTTCTCAAACTGATAGTCTGCTTCTGCTTGCAGTTTCCTTAATTTCATATCACTTTTGGTGGCAGCAGATTAACTTCAGGTGCTCCTTTGTTACTCTCAAACAGGCAGTGTTGGCACACTTCTGTATTAGGCAACCCTAATACAGAAGGCCAGAGCAGCTGGAAACAGCACTTTAACTTCATCAATGGCTTTCACTCTAATAGAAAACTTGCATATTCATGAGGTTGCTCCATTTTTCAAAGGCTTCCTGCTCCAAGCAAGGGACAAGAAAGGTCTGGGCAGGAAGGAGAACAGGTGCCTCCTGGGACGTGGCTGGGACACAGTAAGGAATGCTGCCACCTTCCAGTCTGGGTCCAGAAATACCATTGATGGTACACAGCTGAAAAGTATCTCTGAGGCTTTTGGCAATGGTCTCTCTCTTCTCCTGCTGCCTGCAAGGAATAAACATTCACTTTGGTCCTCTGCCCCTTCCTGTCTGACTGTAAAGGGGTCTGTCCTTTCCAACTGTGTTGGAGAGGACAAGGCAGGGATGGCTTTTGTGGGCCATGACTGAAAGCTTTGGGTAATATCCTGCTCAGCAGAGAGCCTGCAGCTCTGTATCTCATGTGTCCTGTAGCATCCTGACCAACAAAAACTGTGCTCTGTGCATAATTAACAAAATTCTCTGCTAAATCTGAACAGGAGGTAGGAAAGTAACTCATCCTCCTGTACACATTATTTCTTAGGAGGAAACTTGGTACCAGGCCCCCATTTCCCAAGTTGTAACTTAAGCAATACAGGAAATGGATATTAGTAGCAGCAGTGCACTATTTGTGTGGTGTTGCTTTCACTGTATTTCACAGGGTAGTAAAGTCTGAGTGAATTTCCTTCTGTAAATTAGCATGTTATTTTGTTGAAGGGATGTTAAAATAATTGCATTTCTGTGGCAGGGACTGTGGTTTCCTGTCACACAGTTTAACTGCTGGATCAACACCTCTAGTCTGTGTTAGGTACATACATCTAATGATCTGAAAGTCAGCAGCAGCACATTTTGATAGATGCTCTACATGGCTTCATATGTAACAATGGAAGTGGATGAGTTTGAACAGAGAAGGTTCTGATTCCAACAGCAATTTTTTCTTTCATGTAATCAATCAAAAAAAAAAAAAAGGACAACTATGTTAACAAGATGTGAAAGCATTCCAGCCTTCCCTGAGACTATAACTCTAAACCTTTGTCCTGGCAATGGAAAGTTGTCTGTGGAGATATTTCTCCAAAGGAGGCTTGTCCAATTGCTAAATGCAATATACTGCTCTCCTTCAAACTTTTGTCTATTGAACAAAGCTTTAAAGTTGCTGAAATAAGCCCTTAATTTGAAGAAATGATGGGACTATGCTCTATAAATTTGGTCCTGAAAGGTTACTTTCTGCTTAGTGTGAAAAGTATGTTGCTTGCAATACCAGTGCTCTGCAGTCACACCTTTTATTGTCATGGGAAAGGCCACCTCAGCATCCCCCCTGAGGTGATTTCTGAGGAGAATAAACAGGCAGGGAGCCAGCCCAAGAGGTTGCTTTTGACCAGGCTGAGGAAGCTTGTCCCAGGGAGAACAAACACTACTGAAGTCCACTCTTGCTCTTAGCCTTTCTGTGCTCCCCATGGGATACCTACATATGTGAGGGGATAACCACTGAGGCAGATAGGACAGAAAATACTGCTTTTTCTATGAGTGAATGTGGGGGAGCTCCTGGCTGTAGAAGAAATACTGAAGAAAAGATGACATCTGCACAGGTGGATCCACAAAGGGAGAGAGTGCACAGGGAAAGGCAATAGGATAGCTTAACTGAAACTGCATTATGGAGCATATTTACACAATAATGAGGCAATTTGGGACAGAAAAAAAATGAAATCATGCCTTGCTGTACACATTCAGCTTCCACGTAGGCCTACTGAAAACTATGGCTTTGCTTAAGTAGTTGCCCTCTTAGACAGCAAGGCATCTTGGAGAACGCTGCCCTTCCAGCTTTTATGAAATATTATTGCTATTCTCTAAACCATGTATTGTGAGGCAGCCTTTCCAACTGCCATATCAAGGCACCTGCTAATGCTGTGCTTTCAATGTATCTGGTGCGTGATAATAGCAGAGACTTGCTGTTGACAAATTAAAGCTGCAGATGCTGTCTGAGAGGCCCCACAAAGAGGGTCCAGTCTAGACTAAAATGCCTTCAGGGTGAGATTAACATGCTTAATACCAAAAGAGGCATTTACCTGACATTGTCATCTTTTAGTTTTCTGGCTGCTTGTTTGGATAACTTAATCTGCAAGTCCAATCTCTGTAGGAAATCTTTGGCAGATAATTCTTCTGGTGCAGTGGGCTGACTGTCAGGCTCTTGAGGACTGGGAGAAGAACTACTTTCTTCCTGAACTGTTACTAGTCCTTCATCACAAGAAGGGGAGCTGTCAACAGTTTCATTCTCAGGAGACTCCAGTGAACTAAGTCCATTGAACAGTAATGGTTTCTCTGATACAACAGGAATATTCAGGGTTTTCCTCAGAAATATACAGTCATTAGTGAACAGTTTATTTGCCCTCTTTATTTGTTCCATCTGAAAAAGATAGGAAAAATGTAAGTTATTAGGTTTTGGCAAAGTATAAAGTACTAACTTTCTGAAGTAGTACAATACCCTTTAGTTATAATAAATCTATACTTTCTTTGCAGCAGCAATGACTTCAGGAAAGAGTCTGTTTGCATTCAAAGTGATTTCAGAGTGCATGCTCTGTTTTAGCCTTGCTAACATCCTAGCTTCTTTCACGTAGACTTGACTCCAAACTACTGCTTTTTCTAAAGTCTTGCGCTACCTGAAGATGCTTTTGTTGAACAGTCTTCCAGTCTCTATACAGGCTCACATGAACGACCTGCCAAAGAATAAAAATTCTGTTGCAAAAGTACTGCTGATTTGGATTTATATTACAGTAAGGCTCAGAACTGCTAGCAGGTGCTGCAGGTGAACCCTCTGGCAAAAACATGCAGAATCCAAATAAGGGGCAATGAAGTTACCTTGAGGATTCTAGGACAGTGAGCAACACAAGTCCTGGAAGAGCAGTATATGCCTCATCCCCCCAGCTGATGTAACACATTCAGACTTCATCTGAAGTCCTGATTTTCAGTGAGGAGTCAGGCAGTGAAAAGAATGGGGGACTCGAACGCTGTCATGCAGCTGCATAGACCAATGGCTGCATTTGTTCAGTAAACTGAATCTGCAGCACCTTCAACAGCAACCTCATGTGTGTGATAATGCGCCTGGTAACAGCTACCACACGCCTGTTACATACTTTTTATGCTACTTTTACCCAAGATTGTGACAGATTGTAACCAAGGTTGTGACAGAAGCAACCTTCTTTCTCAGCATGCTAATGCATAAAACTCCCTTGTTCTATATTTAATCTGAGAAGCTCTTATAAATTCCATTGCTTTACAGGCAAAGGAAAGCTCCCAGTAAATGTTTATACTGTGTCCCTACTAAAAATGTTTAAGTTCTAACTCATCAAAATTTCTAAGTCAACAAACTAACTTCCTGTTTCTCAACTGCAAGCTTTTAAAAAGCACAGAAATCTGTATCCATGATTATGTGACTTTATGCTTTAGTTATAACCTGAATTCATGATTTCATTAGTGAAAGTTCTAAGAGGAAAATAAAAATTACCATTCTGGTCCCCTGGTGACTGTAATAAGCAGAAAATCCCCAATCACTACAGTACTGCAATGATAAATGCCCTCTAAATAAAACTTGCTTGAAAATAAGTATAAAGAGAACAGAAAAAACCCTCATGCTTTCATTAGAACTGTTAATTATTTTTATTGAACTACATGGAGCTAAAGTGAATAAGAATAAAGACTGTAAGTCTTACCATAATAGCAGTCTTGCTCCTAGCATAATCACTCAGAGCTGAGTGCTCCAAGTACTAGCCACTTACTGCTTCAAAGTCTGAAGTATCTAGAGTTCAGTGCTCAGATGATGAGAAAATTGCTCCATCATCTTATCCTTGTCAGTCTTAAACTCTCTTAAACTTTGGCACTACTTGGAGTCCTTCCCAACCTCAAAAGAAAAGACCATTGTTACCAGATAACTGGCTTAAACATGCCTGTGCATTCCTCACACTGAACATACCAGCAGGGGAACCTACTGGGATCCAAGGGAACCTACTGCACTCTGCATGTCTGTGCAGATGTGAGATTGTGTGGCCACTTGCAGAACTCAAATCAACTACTCCATGCAGTGTAGACCTGTACTGTGCACTAAAAGTATCTGCTGCAGTGCTGTTATAGAACTGGTGTCCTGCATGGATGCATTTGTTTGGGTCCTGGAAACCTGATGAAATCTTTCTCCCTAAAAGTAAATAGGATTCTCTCTAGAAAGGACAGGTGTGTGGGAAGGTAGTGAAAACAGTGCAGTAAAGCTCAGCAGGAAGGAATTTCTAACTGTTAAATATTAAAAAAAATGTATTCTCTGGTTAAAGATAACCCCAACCTGTTGATGCAGATGGCTAAAATGATGAAATGCTTAGATTTAATAATCCCTTTCAAAAACTGAATAGCTAACATCTGGTGACTCACAGTAAGTTACTACAAGTAAGAGAAGCTCTCTACTCTACCAGCTCTTGAAGCTTGGAAGCTGTTTTTAGTCAGGTTCATACAGTAGAGGGTAAAAGTTCTCTCCCAAGCTGAGCACTATCTGAAGGGCATAAAGGAAGTTTCACCTGACTTAGTCATGAGACCTTATAATGGCCCTAGTGTGAATGTCAACTGTTAAAATTTCTAAAAGCTGTCTGCCTGGATGGGTGTAAAACATGTTTAAAATACTAGCTGGAGCTATTCTCTAATACAATACAGAAGCTGAAAACTGAGATCTTTACTGCAGGGGAGTTGGAAGGTGGTGCTTCGACAGCTGATAAATAATGCACTGTACTGCTATTCTCTCTCCTACTTCTCTGTAATTCTACCTCTGGTTATTTCTTACCAAAGTACCACCTCATGGCATTTGGAAGACTGTGTACGTCTGAACTGAGTAACAATGAAATGGAAAGTACTTGGTTCTAAACAGAACATCCCTCAGCCTTGAGCAGGTTAATTCATATGTGCAATATATAATTCCTAAAGTCAGTATGACACTCATAGGCGTATGGAGAACAGAATTTAACAAGAGCTTTCTTTTTTTAGTGCTAGGAAGACTGAACTTGGGTTTGTTAGCTACAGATCTGTCACAGTGAAAGAGCAAAAGCACGTGCTTAATACTTTAACTGAACCTGCACTAATGCATAAACTGGTGCTGAACTAAGTAATTAAAACTGCTTCTACTGACAATGAAACATAGTCCTCTTTCTTCTCCCCTCAAAAGAGATACAGCACTTGCACTGAACCATAAATATGATACCAAACATGAATTCCCAGTGTTAATTTACCCAGAAGGAAGATATAATGGAGGCAAGTTGTAAAGATTAATAGCCAGTATCTGGGGGATGGGGTGAAGAGCAGAGCATGAGGCCAAACAAAGCACACTGATCTCTCTCCCCCAACATGACATTTTCATCTGTCCTGGACTGTCTCTGCCAAGTCATGCCAAAGCAGGCATTGGACAGGATGTCTCTTGCTACAAAGTAACTCCCAGAGAGGAAAACCACAGGAGAAACTTCTAAAAAAGTGATACTGGAGGCAAGGGCAGCCAAAGATAATTCTGATGTTTTCATTACAGCAACTCCCACTCCTAGCCAAGGATGCATGATGCAGGAAGCAAATGGAATGACTCTTCAGGGGAAGTGAGTCCTTGTCATTGTGTGAAACCACGATGTTCTTCATTTTGCTAAAAGCAAACACGTTTGCACACATTCCTACCCTGGGTTGAAACCCATTAAAACAGAAACACAATGGCTAATTTCACCAAACTTGGCCCTGCTCTTTGGGACACTTCATGTCAGATTAACCTTTCTCAACTGAAGTCTATAATGATGCAGCTCTGGTTTCTTAAGCACAATACTTACCAACACTAAATTGAATAACTAATGACATGTTGGGGAAAAAAACCCAACATTTATACTTTAAATGCATCATCAACACAGCAAAAGCTTATTAAACTCATACTATAAACAAAGTTTATGGTTCATAACTTAAAGTTATTTGTACAGGTTTGATCCACAACTTCACTTTAGCTGAAAGGGGGTTTTAAACTGTTTAGAAATGACTTTTTTTCTGTAAAACTACTATTTTAGTAATCTGTTTATATTTTTCACTTCTGAATGAGGAATAACATGGCTAAAACATTTAGGCCAGAGACTTTATCCATAATGGAAAGTGCTGCCAAAAACAAAAAAGAAATCAAACATCCAATGTGCTGCTTTGCCTTCTTAGTGAGCAAAACTTCATTTTAATGTGGACCAGTGTAAATCCAAAGTGTCATTAGCCCCGTTGCCAAAAAGAATTGGTCAAAAGTGGCATAATCTTTCAAAAGGGAAGAGAAATTGACTTTTTAACCCATTCCACAACAAAAGCTGAATGCTATTAAGGTGATGGAAGGCTTTAGTAGATCTTGCAGACCAAGAGAAGGAAAAGAAACCGTTCCAGTCAGAGCCTATTAGTTTGGGACTGTATTGTACCTCTTCTAGAAAGAGCCCAACTGAAGGTGCTGTTTGCAGCTGATGTGAGTGTGACACTGACTGTGTACCATTGCCATGCTCATCAGCTGCTTGGCCCCAAGCAATTCTGCATGTTGGGACTACTGAAGATGCATATCAGTCTATGGGCCCCAAAAAAGCAGAGATGAAGGCAGGGTAGGTGAGCTCTGCTCTGTCAGGAATGGTAGTGCTGGTAGACCCTACTGGACTCTGCATGTCCTCAGCTGCCATAAGCCTTTCAGCATTTTTCACAGAAATAAACTTTCTTTCTCCATAGAAAGTAGGCAGAAAAGCAACACTTTCAAACCAGTGGTACTTGTGCCTCACCTCTGGGCTGGGAGGCAGATCACAAGGGAAGAATGTTTAGCCCTGAAGCTACTAGAAGAAACTCTTTCCCCTTGTCACAGCCTATGCGTCAAGCTCAAAATAATGATTCTCTTCAAGATAAATTTAATTTCTTTTTTAATCTGAAGTGAGTGTAGTAATGAATAGTTGCGTGGGTATAGGTTTCCTGATGGAAGTAAGCGTGTCTCCTTTCCCAGGGACCTCTGTCCCATCCCGGGATCCCGGTGCTTGTCAGTTTGGAGCCGTGTCCTGGCCGGGCAGTGTGAACTTCAGCCCTTCGCCGGGTGCTGACCCTCCGAGCAGGCCATGAACTCAGATGTCATCATTTCAAATACCGAAACTAAAGCCAGCGCCGTAACACGGGGAGAACATCATTTTCTGCCCGCTGTGGGTGGGAAATGCTCTAAGGGACAAGCTGCTGTCCTGTCCCGGCTCGGGGCCCCACCACCGCTGCGGAGCCGGGCTGGCACGGGCTGCCCAGGGATGCTCTGCACTCCCCATCCCTGGAAGCGCTCAAGGCCTGGCTGGCTGGGGCTCTGAGCAACCTGGCCTAGTGGAAGGCATCCCTGCCCAGGGCAAGGGAGTTGGAACTGGCTGATCTTCATGCTCCCTTCCAACCCAAACCATTCCACGGCTCCAAGCGCCGCTCCGGGCCCCGCCGCCCCTGTGCCGGCGCCAGCGGCGCTCCCTCCCTTACCGTGACGCCGTACTTGAGGGCGATGCCCTGCAGCGTGTCCCCGGCGCTCAGCCGGTGCTCCACGTATCGCTCTGCCAGCGGGGCCGCCACGCTGGCCGTGCTGCCGTACGAGCGGGCCTTGGTGCGGGCGAGCCGCTGCGACAGCTCGGCCTCCGACTCGGGCCCGCCCGGCGGCTCCTGGCGCAGCGCCTCGGCCATGCTCCCACCCCGCGCTCAGCGCCCGCGGCCCCGCGCCGCCGCCGCC